CCTAAATACCATTGAAGTAAGTATAGGTGTAATAGGCGCCAAAACATAAATTTTAAAATAAATAATGTAATGAAATACTTTAGTAAAAATTAGAATTAATAAAAATATATAATAAATTAAAATATTATAAAAGTTTTTAATACTACTCAATATGATTTTGTCTAAAAGTTTGATTTTCAGCAAAATTTATATAATAATAATAAATATATAAACATTGATCTAACTACAGTCAATTTTTAAAAAAGGAAAATTTATTATAAAACTAATGATAAATAATCATTAATGATAATTTTATTTTTATTTACTTTTTTTTTACACAACAAAGAAAAATTTTATATCCAAATTCCATGATAAATTAATTATTTTGTTTTTAATTTGTGCTCCTTTTAAAATTATTTTTTCATTCCTACTCTCAAACACTATTTATAACACTATATGGGTCATATTAATAGCTTAATAGTATGTACATTTTATATCATTAAATGTATTATGATTAACATAAAATACAAATTCTACTTATTTGGATTAGTTGTTTATAATATATTTAAATTATTGTTTTATAGGTAAAATAAATAGTATATAGTATCATTAATAATATTTATCAGCATAAATAGCAAATTATATTTTATGTAATAATATTTATTTGTATAGAAAAAAATATATTTACTCTTATATTAAGCTAAGATTGGATTTTTTTTAATTTAACAGATAAATATTGAATTATTGGTGCCTATTATCTTGATTTGAAATAGAGATAATTTAAATTTTAAATTTTAAATTTTAAATTTACATAATTGTGTAGCCACATTTTTTGAGACTTGTTAATGGTTGAATAACAGCTATCAAAAATGAAGAACAATAAAAAAAATAAATATGACTTGCGATTTCCATCATATTGTGTTTATCTTGAATTTGCACGTTTTGTTCGATGATTGTTACGCTCCAATGATAGTATAGACCAATCAACCACAATGACGTATTGAAGATGAATCCTTTCCAAACGTTATAACTTTCGCCTTGGTTGAAATAAAACTTCACAACATTTCTGATTTTTATTTTGGTAAATTCTAATAAACAATCAGAAAAGTTTTAAAATTATTTGATATAATAAATATTGTATTAGAGCTACCTTAAATATTGACAATAATGATTCAAAATGCAAACATTACGTTAAACGATATTATACAACTTTTTTAGCTAAATAAAACTATCCAATTGAATAATTTTCTAATTTCCATAATTGATAAAATAAATTTATATCTATTGTTTCGTCAAAAATGTCTAAATATTTAAACCTTCTACATCTTATCTTGTTTATAATAATCATAAAATATTCTATGTACAGCTCGATTGTTATAACAATATAATTATAATAAAATATAAACTTGATAACCAACCGTTTAAAATATGTAAATATATTACATTCGATGTTTCATGTAAAATGTACTTTAATATCAACTCAAGGCATAATTTATGATATGAAGTGAACATGTATTTAAAAATATTAATCATCAAATTTTCATTAAATCTTTCACTGCAAATCACCAATTCCATTATCAATAATACCATATTAAAACACTCATATAAATAGTGACAACTTAATAACACACATAGCACATTCTACTTTAGTTTTTGTTTTATAGTTTATACTATATAGAAACTACGTAAAAGATATTTAGTGCCACGGCATTTTCAATCATTTTTTGTAGAACAAATATCATTCTAAATTGAGATTAAATTTAATTGAAATTAACAGTTAACGTAAAAATATTCTCATATCTTATGTACTAAACTAATACAGACTATACTAATATAACAATTTAATATTAAAACTATATAACATTTTGATATTCTGGTAAATTTATATTATAAATATAGATATAAAACATATAAATATAAACAAATTTAAGATCTGAAAATATCATGAATACAATGTATACCTAATATAAATTCAGTGTGACGTTATAAATGCATGTTTCCTTTTTGTATGTACTTGGAAGATGCCTTAACTACGTTTTCCAGTTTTACCCTTATCACCTAACCAATTATTTTGGTTGACATATCTTAACAATGTTTATTATTTAAACGTTCTTACTAAACTATAAAAAAAGAACCGACGTATCTAATTGACGCTTTGATCCAACCACAGAAATTAGCGATAAACTGAAGAAAAAAAATAAGTATACTAATTTAAAATTTAAAAAATTTGAGTGATAGTTACTAATTCGCAATAAATTGTATAAAATAAAATATACTGTAAATATAACATTAAATTTTAATGATTTATGTTTATTACGGATTATGAATATAAGTTGAGTATGGACAGTATAATAATAAATAGTAATAAATTAAATAAAGTATTATGATTACTAATATAGAACTGGATGCTGATATTGTCAGTAAGATTAATGTTTAAACAATATTAATAAAACACAACGATACATTGCTAGTATATGTATTCTGTTTGACATAATATATCGCATGTACGTTATACGTAATTTATTAAAGCTATTTGACAAGAAAAAAAAATCATCAAGAAATCAGTTCAAAATATACAAATGTCATATTTTCACTTTTTCCAAAACCAAATCGTCTCAATCTAACTGAAACCTAAACCGTAAGTTTGTATTTTATGGTCTATTTTCAAACTTATCATTTCAATTGTCGTGTAGTTTTCTACTGTGTCATTTTTTTCTTTTGTTTATTACTCATGTCGAGTAACAAAAAAATAATATGACTTTGTAGTAGTGGCTTTGTATACATGTATATTATTTTTATACGACACCTCATCATTTATCCGTCTGACATCAAGGAAAAACATGTTTTCTCTACTACCTCTCGGGGAAAACATATTTACCAACTGCACATAATATATGCTACTACTAGTTACTTTTTTTTTCACGATTCCGCGTTGTCCTCTGAAAGATGTATGTACAACAAGTGATAAGAACATCACAATATTTATCGATGATTATAATTGATTTCTACCGTGGTGGAAAGTTGTAATAAAGTTAATTTATTCTGTCTGCCTATTTAAACACCCCCGAGAGACAATTTTCCATATAAACATTATTTTCTGGATAAATAACAATAAAGAACTAATGAAACTTCATTGTCTTCTCCCATTCAACGGGTTCTGATTGTCGGCTGATAATAATTTCCAATGTAAACATCACAAATGCAATACCCTTATAAACATAAAAAATAAACACTATTACGTTTTCTTGGTAATAATGAAAAATGTAATTTTTTTTTTTACTCATAAACATTTTAACTTTTCGGCATGGTTAATTTATTTAATACAAAGCAAAACATTATAGTTACAACGATTATATAATATGTTTCTACAATGTAAAAATTATAATATAATTGTAAAACATAAGTAATTTATGCAATTAATTTCAATTATTGTACAATACAAATAAGAATCAATCTTACAGTAAAATATACTATAGTTCTTATTGAAATTAATTAAATTTTAATAATACTATATGTATTTTATTTATGATTTTAATCAATTAATAAATTCTTAAACTATATTATTTATTTATTATCGTATACCTACACGAGTATGATTATAATTTCAATTTAAGTAATTCAAATCTCAAATTAAAAGAAATTGTGTAAATTATATTTTAAACTTGTGTACTATAAAATTATCGAGATAACCCTCTTTGAAAAAAAATTATGTACTTTTTTTCTTCGCTAAAAACATTTTCTTTTTAACTATACCCCACACATATAAAAGTTTTTTTTTATTCAACGACTAAAATACATAGAAAATGGGTTATGGGCGGAATAATAATGAAAACACTTTGGTAAAAATAACGAATTCTAAAACTGTAGTATGAATACATTTTTAAAGATTTTTTTTTCTTATTTATACATTTTATTTTAAAAACCAACAAAAAAAAAAAAAAAAACTATACAAAATATGAGATTTACAAAATTTGTAAAAAAAAATAAGAATATTAAATATTCTCCTTCATTTAATCGTTTAATAATAAACTTAAAACTTCAATAGTGAATAACACTTAACGTTCTTCCAACTAACAATAAAAAAAATATATACATTTTTTTTAATGCAAGAAAATATTGTATAATGTGTATATCTATCTATTTATAATAGAATATAGTATATTCTATCTACAATGAGAAATTTTTTTTATTTACTTATTCATAAAATGTATCTATTTCAATTAAAAAAAATTATTATATAAATGATTTTAAAAAGTATATTTAAGTAAAAATAAAACTTTTTCAATAATTTAATTGAAATTAAATTTTAAAAGTAAAAAAAAAAAAAAACAATATAAAATAAATTTATAAATATTTTCCAATGCATATTTCAAAAAAAAAACTCAATTTTGAACATGAGTATAAAAATATATTTTCTAAAAATATTTATTAGCTTATATATTTAAAATTCTTATAAACTGAGTATATTAAACCTAACATAACACAATAGATATAAATCTGAACATTATCAATAATACAATATAAAATAATCTACTTTGAATATTATGTATTAGTGATTTCACATTATAAAAATTTCATTTCTTCATTTCTTTTATAACTATTTATTTATATCTTACACTCTATCATGTACGTTTTTTCCTTTTGGTATAAATAAGAATTTAATTATATTACCTAAATATTTTCATACATTTTAAAATCTCATGGTTGAAAAATTAAACATTATTACCTATCAATAATATCATAATACACCTTAAAAAGTCAAATAAATGTATGGTTTCTTTTTTTTATTTAAATATTAAACACTAAAAACCTTTTATATTAATGCAAGTAGGTAATTAATAAGCAAGTTAATTTTGAATCAAACATAAAATAATTCAAATAAAATGAATTGCACAATTTATAAAATAATAAATAGTTTAATTTAAGCCTCAATAAAAAAATTGAAACTAATATCAAAGCCGAACGACGGAAGTAAAAATTTAATTTAAATTTTAAAATTAATTTATGACTTTACTTTTTAGGACAAAATGCATCATAGTTGTTACATGTGGATTTTAGTGATCGCAACAGCGGTATGGACGGATACAATCACAGGACACGAAGACAAAGTGGGGATTAAAAGTCAACAGACACAGCAACAGCAACAATCCGATATTATGCAAACAATGGCGGACGGTGGAGGTCATCAGTCAATTCATATGACATCTCCGGCAGAGAGTTATTTCAATGATCCGCTGGGTCCGTTGGGATATTTGGCCAAACGTGCACACAAGCAATACGGATTTGGGCTCGGCAAACGTCTTTATCGGCAGTACGAGTTCGGGTTAGGCAAACGGTCAACGTCAAAGCAATACGGATTCGGTCTGGGTAAGCGAGCTGCACTTAAGCAGTACGAGTTCGGCTTAGGAAAACGAGCTTCGCCGACCTTCTATAGTTTTGGTCTGGGACGACGGGCTTCGCCACAGTACAGTTTTGGACTCGGAAAACGGGTGAGATCATGAGACATTGAAAATAGCTTCTTTTTTTTAAAAAAAAAAGTTATAAAATATAATACTTAATTGATTTATTAATTTGATATGAAATAAACAAAAGGTTGGATGACCAATATGATCATCTACTAATAACACGGAAAAAATTATGAATGTTTAATGTCTATGTCCATGTCTCATATTGTACTTTCAAAATCTGAACTTATTTGATTTAATTTTAGTTTTAACTTAGTGAGTATTAAATATAAGTGTGGATATCTAAAACCTTTAAAGCATTAGTTAAGTGAGAGACAATCTAAGAGATATGATAACTCTGAATTAAATTAATTTTAAGCTATTATTAGGGAAATACAAAATTTAGAAATAATAAATACTTATTGTATTTTAATTTTTTTTAACAACTGTGCTTGGATATCAAAATAAAAATGTTATGGCCCCACCAATGATTGTTTACAATTATATGAAAATTCGAATGATATACCTAGTGGCGGTAGTGCAGTCCTGATTTAAACGATTTATCACCTGTAGATACACAGTAAAATAATTTAATTTATAGTTAAAATTATTCAACAAAACAAATTGGTTTATTTACATTATTTTAACGTGAGTGAAGAGTGAAGTTTTGTACTAATTTATGCATTAACAAATGATAACGTTTAATAAAGGTATGCAAGCTAATCCAATTATTATAGTGACGAATATGGACCGACTGTAGGTGATACTTATACTGTTCATTAGTAACAATTGATTATTATACCTTATTATCTATTACTCATTATAAAATATATTTTCTGATAGATATATAATAAACATATGGATAACAAGATTTCTACATTTAACTTTTCTTTTATTTTTTATTTTTTTTTTTTTTTTTTTTGTTAACATTTTCTACACGTGAAAAAAGTAGATACCCTAATATAGTTTTAGTTGTAGTATAACCTTACAATATTCTTACCTTATGTAGTTGATATGTGCTTATTTAGACTAAAATGGCTTCATCATCATCAAATATGTTCAATGCGCAGATCTAGCATAATGTATAATACTTTGTAAATAATTTAAATTGGTCTAACAAAATTAAAATACGAGTAGATTTGCTTTAACCAAAGTTAATTAAAATGTTTAATCTAGCTATAATTTTTTTAAATAAAATAAAATATAATGTTTGAGTTATTTTTATTTTTACAATTATATTTAAAACGCTTTTAAATGAATTAATTAGTTTTGTGGATCTTAAAAGTGACACGAAAAGAAAATTGAATCGTTTTTTGATTACATTTTCAATTAAATGGTTTGCAGTAGTAATTTTGCACCTTAATCATTAGACCATTAATTTGCAACTGAAAATAAAATTAACAAATATAATATAATTTCATCATATTATAACTTCTGAAAATATATTGATAATTAAAATTAATAATAATTACATTTTAATTTATTATAATTTTCGTTTATAATAAACTTGTTAAGGAGCACAAATATTAAATCACAGCATAATATGCATACATAATAATTTAGTATTAGTCATACTTTGTATTAAAGCCCGTCATAATTCTATAATATAACGCTAAATAAGTAATAAGTTATTACTAATAACTTACTTTGATGTAGTGGTGTTTCAGCATGAATAGCACGATATACCATATTTTATAACATGAAATATATCGCGCATTACACTTTTATAAATGTTTTCTTCATCATATAGTGACGGCCTGCCACTAGTGCTACTATAATACATTAATATATTATATAATTAATAGTTATATTAGATATATAAATCATAATTATGATCAAATAATTACATCAGAATTCCGTATCCTACACTATATGTGAGAAAAATTAATTAAATATGGGATTAAAAATTGAACTATCTTAATTACATCCTAACTGTTTTTTTTTTTAATTATTTTTCGTTCAAAACGTTAGTATAATTTATAAATCTTGGATCACTTCATTATTAATTTTAATTATATTTATATACAAAAAGTTAAGAAGTACTTTTGAACACAAATGAAATGTAGGTGACTATGTAAAATAATTTACAAATAAAGATGAACAAAATATAGGACGAATACGAGACTGGAGAAGGAATAAAATGTATATTATTATAAAAACCAAGCTATATATATCAGTGTTAAGACATTATATATAGAACGACAATAATATTATGTTGAATAATGAATACAAGCCCGGATTAAGGAGAGGGAACATAAGGGAAAGCTAGAGATACGGTTGATCTAATGATGCGAGAATGCGACAAGAATTCTAAAAACAGATTTGGATTTGTCGCAGTGTACCTATTTGAAGTCGACTTTCTCATGTCTTTGATATTTTATGTCTAAGGGTACATAAAAACAGATTTTAAATTACTATTTTTTTTTCTGTTCACTTTGATGTCACTTATAAAGATAAAATAAAAACGTAGAAGAATCGATATCAAGTAGATCAAATGAAAAATTCAAATCTTTATCGCGTTGTTAAATACATGGCAATTTAACACGCGTCAAGGAAATCGCCGTTCACAATCCCCCTAACTGTATTTTTATTTTTATGTTTTCGTCCCTTGGCCCTCGTCAGCGGAATCAATCCGGGCTCGATTAAATTCGAATAATAGCACATATATAATATACATGTAATATTATGATTTATAATGTAAGGGTATTTTACATTTTATTGTGTATAGATAACTACTAATAATGTGTAACCATACAATGCTGTGGCCGTGTCTGATGTTTTATTTGGTCAACAGGTGTCGCACCCGTCATTCTTGAACGTAGACGATCGGGAATCGGACTACACGTACAACGACTTGTCGGAGGAGAGGAAGAGGACAGCGGACGATATGGGTCATGGCCAGCGGTTCGCTTTCGGGCTCGGAAAACGCGGTGCGGGGGCGGAATGGGAAGACGGTGACGGTGACGGCGACGACGCGGCGCCCATCTGGCACCCGGCCGTCAGGCGGGCTCGTCTGCAGTACGGTTTCGGACTGGGAAAAAGGGCTGACCGCGACTATGACGCCGCTGCCGGTATGGAGTACGCGGATACGCTGCAATTAGCCGACGACGTCGCCACCACTGACATCAACAACTAAAAACAACGACAAATTTTCATCCAAACACACAACAGACACACACACAAAACACACACACAAAACACACACACAAAACACACACACACACAAACGAACAGCCGTAAACGTATTATAGGTGGAGATTAATTGAGTGATAAGGGGGGGGGGAGCACGGAAGTTTAGCCTCCCGTTGCAGTTTTTTTTTTTTTATTTTTAACATTTGACAAATAGGTATTATTATTTTATAGCATGTAATATGGAAATGATCTGTCATTATGTTAAAATACACAGTATGCATCTTTGGACCGACTTCCAAGACGTCTCATCCTGGAAATGAAAATAATTTATTTTATCAGAGGTGTTCGAAAACAACTAAACAATTCGACATGATTTTGGTTATTTTTTGCGTTATTGAAATATCATAATGTATTTGAACATTGTTAACTTCAATTAAAAAATGACGTGTTGTGTGTATCTTCGTGGTTAATAGCATAAAATAACCAATCTCTTAATGGTAATATTAAACCTGATAATAAAGGGAACACAAACATTTGAAACATAGTGGTTCGCGTATTTGTTTACCTTTTCAAACAATTGATTTGTTCAGAAAAAAAAATGAAGTCCCACTAATATTCAATTAAATCTCCACCTATGAAACGTTAACAGTCATGCATAATGTTTTATAAAAATCAGTACCTACACGCAACTTGCAGAAACGTATTATTAAAAAAAATTAAGAAATAAATTACAACAATAAAAAAAACAGACCGAAGATTTATTTATGATTTGTTTTTCTTACAGTGCCAAATTATAATTAAAATATTATATTGTGTGTAATTTTACACACGTAAAACTTCTATTTGCTTATTATTATTAATATGATTATTTAATATAGTTTAAGATTATGTTTAGCTATTTGCTATTTATGATGTTATATAATATGACGTGAATTTTAAGGATGGATTATGTTTAATTAAGTTAAAATTACTTGTATCATTGATAATAGATAGTCGTCCATATATCAATAATTGATTTTTATGTAGTGAAAATTATACATTTCTAAAATAACCAAATTTACATACCTACAGTTTTACTGCGCGCTTCCTGGTATCAGTTGTTTTGCATAATTTAAACGCAATACCGCCTCGAACGTAGGTGCAGTGGCAGGTCATTCAATTTTAATATTAACAGTGAAAAATCGTAGTAAGTCAATTTGAACGAAAAAAACAAATGTTTAAATATAAGTATATTATATTAAATATTCCTAACATTGATGTTATTTTTTCTCTACTATACTATTTTACGAATCCCAATCGATGTTTCGTCACAAGCAATCAATTAAAAATTAAAATCAAATAAGAAAAATTCAAATAAAGTGCCTATTTTTTTTTTTTATTTTTTTTTTTTTATGTATTCAAAAGATAAACTGTAAAATTAAAATTGAAATAAATTTCATATCCTCACAGTAATATGATTTGTGAATTACATTTTAATTTTTTTCTTTTCTTTATTTTAATTTACTATTGTTAAATTTGTTCATACATGACCTGATGACATTGTAAAATATGCAACATTCAGAAATGTAAAATTTATCATATAAAATATATATTAACATAAACTAATAAATATATACATAATCATATTATATTATATACATATAAACATAAAATCTAGTATTATAAAACTAATTGCTTTAAATATAATAGTTCAAGAATAAATTATTTATATTAATTTATATTTAATTATTAAACTATAGCAACAAATTATCTATTTACATCAATAAATACTATAATATTCAAGTAAAATATTATTTTATAGATGCACTACTTAAATATTGTATTAATCATAGTATTAAACTAGGATTGTAAAACAACTCAAATAAAAATAAATCTCTTCTAAAAAATCACCTTTAATAATATAATACGTTTCTAAATAACTTTATATTCTCTATAAAATTAATTTTTTCGTCTTTTACATTTTTAATTGTAGTGATTATATCATATAAACATCCTTATTTATTATTTCATTATTGTATTTGATTAAAATATCTCAAAATATTATTAAATTTTGCATTATAACTATGTATTTAAATTTAAATTAATACTGCAATTTAATTTATTTATTTATACTATTTAATTTATACCCATTTTCATTATTAAAATTATCATAAAAACTCCTAGTATAATTTTATTTGTAAAAATTAATTTTTTCTCTTTCTTAATTATGGTTTTAAACAAATATTACATATTATTTTAAATATTTTAAACATATGAACGGAAAATGTAAAAACTAATAGCTGATGGTTAATAACTCGTATTATATCACTACTCACAAGTTTCAACACAAAAAAAAAATAATAATTCAAGTTAATGTTTTAAATTTAAAAATTAAAAACAACAGTAAAACATCAAATTTATGAAACAATTTGAGAGGGATATAACATGATTTACCTGCTATATATTATTACAATAAAATAAACAATTAACAAATATATTAAACAGTAAGTATTCCAAAAAATATAAACATATTGATGAAGATTTTAAACTGTTTAAATATTGCAGAAAAATTTTTAAAAAACAATCATAAAACTGAAAATTTGGCTGAAAAATTCTAAAAACATCACTGGTAGTATATTAAAGAAATTAGTTATCGCCTCTTCAAAGTATCGACCGTCATTTTTATAGAAAAGAAAAGAACACCAGATAAAAAGTGTAATATTATTATAAACTACCAAAACGTATTTATGTAAACTCAATGTCATACCTACTTCTTAGTAGTGATATAAACAGTCACTGATAACACAGAAATATTAATAAATTAGTACACAAAACCCATCAACTGTACTTATATTTTCAAAGACAAATTATGAAATATTAATTTTTTGAATGCACGTAAAATTGTTGTACAATATTTATCATTTACTAAAAATTCAGAAAAATGATTATAATGTGCTTGTGAAACTTAAAAATTATGTTTATACATATATAGGTTAATTATATAGTAATATATATTCCAGTAAAATAATTATACTACTATGAGGAGTACAATATTCTAATAACACTAATAACTTAAAATTTCTAAAATTGTATATTTTTCCAAAAGTTCAATTAAAGTTAGTTTCAGCACTATATATACTGAATCGTACATAGTAGAAACAAATTTAATAAATAAATAAATACATAATTAAAATTATAATAGTTCTGGTATTAAAATAAAATTCATTAGATGCTATTAACATTAATAAAACGCGTACATTTGTTTAATTATTGTACAACCTTCAAAATCATAATAAATATATATAAACGTTTATTATGGTTTATTATGTCAATGATTATTTTTATTAAATTTAATTTATTGAACATTGAACAGAAATAATAATTTAACTAATAATAAGTACCTGGTTTCAACAAAATTCTGGTTCATATAAAAAAAAATTGTTTTTAGATACTATATTGAAACAATATACTATTTATTCACTACACAAAGATATTTGTAATGAACTCGCAATCTAAATAATATTATACATGCCTGATATCAGTGATATCTAAGGAAAGATGTTAGATTTTGTACAAATGACAAAAACTATGAAGATCTGCGAAAGATTTCCATTTTGAGAGATATAAAAATATTTTTGTTTATTAAAAATGCATATGATGCTTTTCCTTTTAAGTTACCTATATTGTAGTTTTTAGTAGGTACATATGACACGGCTTCCGGCGACCGTTGCGTACCGTATCACATATTACATGTATAATATAGGCACTATAAAAAGTGTATGAAAAAATTTATTTATTATACAAACTCATATAAATGTATGGTATTCAATAAAAAAATGTACTGATAAATACAATGTAAGTATCTAGTACAAATGTATTCAGAATATTCTAAACAGATAAATAACTTGTGATTATACATAATAGTTTAATATTTAATATGATGTTTATACAGGGTGTTTTTAAAATTAATGAAGTCACTAGTATAAGTGTACTTACTGTTATGGTCCAATGAAAATTATCTTGAAAAATTTTTCCCTCTTCAAAATCTAGGTTTATTCAATTTACTTTTAAAATATTAAAGCGAATGAAAAAATAAATACTCGAATAGTATTTTTTATGAAATTCCCATATGAATCGAGGTAGTGTGACATCGTTTTGGCGTTTGTCATGCGTTATTCACGCTTGAGTCACTAACTGAAAAAATAAAAATGATTTAACACATCGATTTGTATGAAAACTTTGCTAGATAAATGTTGGTGAAATGTATTTGTTGTAATTTAATATACCTACATGATTAATTAAAATAATGTTTTATATTCTCAAATAATAAAAATATTGAAATAATTAAAGTTAATAGATTTTTAAGTAATCAAATTTATTGCCATAAATTTGAACTATATACTTTAACATTTGGGTGTTTATTAAAATATGATGACTTATATACGTAATGTATCACAAGGATAAAAGTAACTAACTATTAGTGTATTTATACTGAAATTTTAATTTTTTTTTTTTTTTTTGGTTATCGGAGTAACTTAATTATTTTGACTCAATAAGATAAATATTTTATTTTGTACTTATTATTAGTGTAATATCATACTTTTATCGTTAATATTGGATTCACCGTTCTTCATACATAAACAACATTAGTATTGAGTTGCCTATTTTTATTGAAGCTTAGTATGAAATTTGCCAATAAACAATATTTTCTATTTATTTTTAAAATGTTAAAGGTTTTCATTTAAATTTGGAATAATAGCGTACACTAACTTTGAATATGTATATATGTTTAAGTTAAGTGCATCAAAATTAACGAAAATTTTATTAAACAACTCTTATTAATAAAAATTGATTTTCAAAATAAACTATTATTGATTATGATTATTTTATAGTGAAAAATTGTAAAATACTGTATTAATGAATTATGTATATTAAATGACAACAGACACATTTAAATATTTGACCACTGTTTATTTTTCAAAGCTCTCGTACATATCGATATGTTAAATAATAATAATAATTATTATTATTTTTTTTTTTTTTTTTGTTAGTGACACATATCAATTTATATGAGAATTTTGCAAAAAATACTCTTTGAGTATTAATTTTTACATTCACAATGATATAAAAATGATTTGAATAAACCAAAATTTTTAAATAGAAAAAAATTTCAAAAATTCTTTATTGAGCCATTACAGTAAATACGCTTTTAGGTACTACTAACCCTATTCATTTCAAAAACATCTATTATATATGTACATCAACGAAGATATTATTACCCATTTTAACTTTATTATATAGGTACTCAATACGTTTTAATAATACTGAACTTAAAATAATTTATGAAGTCAAGAATTCCTTGTTGTGTTTATAAAATATGACAATTTTTAAAATTCATTGCTAATTCCCGCTTCTAAATTTAACCGTGGAATATCATATAAATTTAAAAACGATGAATTGCGCTATTATTAAGCAATGAAAATTGATTTTAATGAAAAACGTGAAAATAATTCAACCTCCTCTCTTATCCTTAACAAAGCTTCTAGAAACAGGTAAAATCTAATAATTAAAACAAATTATATTTTTGCTAAAATTTAATTAACAACTCTTTAAAAGCATTTAATTTCCAACCAATTTAAAAACGATTTTTAACATTGCACCAATTTAATTGAATAATACAATTACTGCTATTAAGGCCACAGGTTGCAGTAAGGTGCTATTATATTTGTATGTTTTGAAATAAATGCACTTCATTTTTAAATTTTTACTTTAATCACTAACAGCAAAAGTAAATTGACCTCAAAATGTCAGTTTTGTTCTTAAAAAATTATCAATCAATGAAAAATAGTTTTGTTACACAGAAATATGAATATTAACGATATTTATTAAATTCCTATAATAAACTGTATATTAATTAAACTATTAAATGTCAAATAATGTACCTGTATAGTCTTTGTTTATCATAATATTTCTATTATTGAAATGCATTTAAAAAAATATATAATTTATTATTATGAATTGTCGGGAAAATGAATTCACGACAGTAGTATATCAAAATTGCCTATTCAAGACGCCGTTTGATATTTTTGCGCTGTTGAAATTTATGTTAACGATTGGTAACACTAATAAGACAAAAAGTTCTGGACCACGGCCATGGGATCACCCGTTATAGTTGAACAAGCTTTTTAATTTTTTTTTTTTTTAAGAGTTAACCAAAGATTTCTATATTTTAAGTTTTCCTATCACTTTTTTTTAGTTGAACAGTTATTTCAAAATACATAAAAAATAAAAATATATACCTTTTGTCGTATACGCCAAACAAGGGCTCAGCATGTATAATAAGAATCTCGGTTTCCGATTTCCGATTTCCAAACGATCA